TTCTCAGACTGGGTGCTGAAGATGTAGGCAGCCAGCACAGACAGAAGAAGCCCCAAAAAGCCTGCTCTCTCTAGACAGAGGACCAGGAAAAGTGTAACCTAGAAAGGGAGAAAACATTCCATTAATAACCACTCCTACAGAAGAGTTAATGTGGGTGACCTGAGCCTGCTGTTCATACAAAGTCCTGCTTGCAAGATTGGCCCTTGGCTGGCATCTGGGAACTTTACTGATAACAGTGCCCTATACTGATACTAATATTTTCCTAAATGATAAGTGTGTCTCACTGTGCCTAGACTATTCCTGCAAAGGAGGTGGTTTATGTGGCACACCTGTCTTCCTTTTGGGAGTCTGGAATTGGTGGTAGGCAGTCGTATGGTACCTATATGTATATAGTACCTATATGACTAGCCCTCCACAAAAACCTTGGGAACGGAGTCTCTGAGCTTCCCTGGCAGACAACACTTCATTCCTGTTGTCACAATTCACTGATGGAAAAATTAAGTGTATCCGGGGAGAGAACTCTTGGAATCTTGCGCCTGGTTTCCTCTGGACTTCACTCTATGAAGCTTTTTCTATTTGGAGATTTTGCTTTGTAGCCTTTTCCTATACATCTTATTTGTGAGTACAACTATATTCTGAATCCTGTGAATCCTCCTAGTGAATCACTGAACCTGGGAGTGTTCTTTAAGGCCCCCAACACCTTGTCGTATGCCAACCACATATCACAGAAAAAGTGGTAGTCCCACCCTCACCTATGTGCAATAGCAATAGCCCAGTGGGAAGCCTGGACTTTCACCCTTGCCAGGCTATGATAAGGTTCCCCAGCGCCCCTGCCAGGATAGTGTCAGAGAAGGCTGAGTGGAAAGCCAGAACTTCTACTGTCTTCCAGTGGTAATGAGTTGCCTTCACCACCTCCCACAATGTCAGTGGAGGCCAAGTGGGGAGTAGTGATGAGGCACCCCTTTACCTCCCAACCAAGGTGTTATCAGTGGAGGCCTGGTGGGGAACCTGAACTCTTGCCCCTGCACAACAGTAATGACATGTCCTTTCCTGCCCACATGGGGTGTCAAAGGTCTAATAGGAAACCTGGACTTCTACCCCAACCAAAAGTTAGGTGACTTCTCCCATCCTTTACCAGTAGTGTCAGAGAAGATCTGCTGAAACAGATTTGAATAAGATTTGTAGTATTATAATGTAATAATACCCCAAGTGGTCAGGATACAATAGAAAAGTACTTCCCATACTGCCATACTGACAACTAAGAAAATTTCAATTTGAATGAGAAAAGACAACCAACAAATGCCAACACCAAGATAAGATGATGGAATTATCCAATGAGATTTTCTGTAAGCCAGAGATTTTCAAGTTTTTTTTTCATTTCATGGCACACATAAACTAATTACTAAAATTCTGCGGCACACCAAAAAATACATTTTTGCCAATCTGACAAAAAAAAAAAAAAATAGGCATAATTTTGATTCATTCACATCAGATGGCTATTGTTGTGTTGGCTGTTGTCTTTTTTTTATTTGACAATCTAGGGGAAAAGAGGTTAGTGCCCCGACTAAACAGTCAGGTATTGCATGTTTTAAAAATTCTTGCGGCGGCACATTGGTTGAAAATTGCTGCTGTAAGCTATGTGAAGAAAAAGACCATGTTCGATTTATTCACCATAGTCTCAGAACCTAGCATGATGTTGGCTGAAGCAGGTATTCAATAAATATTTGCTGAATGGATGAATAATGAGTGAATAGAATGTCAGGGAATAAGAGTATATAGTAATACATATTATACATATAATAAATATATATCAGTAAATGACTACCATTTCTATATGACTGGATGCACAGAAAAAATTTGAAATACACACCAAAATGCTCATAGCATCCTCCAGTGCTAGAGAACAGATAATTTAATAATTTTCAAGTGTTGGACAGTAAGAGTATTTCTCAGAGAAATGGTAGCAGAGTATTTTGGACAAATGGTCCATTAACAGATGATTTTTATCTTTTGCTCAGATCTCAGTTCCTCCAAGTCCACTCTGTTTAGCTAAATGTTCATGAATTAGAAAATGTTAACAAAACACTTGCAGTAGATGAAAGATATCAGTTTGAATATAAGAACTGGACTCTTGGTAACTAGGGATGAACATAAAGTGGACTTAAGAAAGGGCTCACGGTAACTCACAACTACCAGTAAGAAGAGAAAAATTAAACTTCTGCCTCCTGTTTCTCATTAGAGCCTCTCTTCTAATGTGTGGAGGACATCCTTGTGCCTCATACTTCTCTGCAGTGACTAAAGGTTCCTGGGAATCCCTTTATAGGATTTTGATAGATTGTCAGGTCTAAAAGACTAAAAAAAATATAGAACCAATTTCACAAAATCAGATGATAAACTACTATCACTGACCTTTTTGGATTGGAAAACAAAAGAACATTCCTGTACCCCAGCCAGAAATCTACCGCCTCTGCTTTTATCTCCATCTTCCCTGACCTGCTTTCTTCCTTTTCTCTCTCAGGCCATTGTCTTCCTCTTCTTCCAGTTGAAAAACAATCTTCTTTTTTCTTTTCTTTTTAAATTTAATTCACTGTCACACTTTGTTTCTCTGTTCTAATATCTGTTACCTTGCCTTTTCCCTGGTTGCAATCAGTGAGCTGAAAATGGACAGAATCTGCCTCATAGGACAGACTCTACAGGCTCTTAATTCAGCCTGGCAAGTTTACTACCTTTTCTATTCAACTTTCTTTCTCAAATGACCTCAACTCTCTTCAAACTTCAGATCTTCCAGTTTATATCCTTGCTCTTGGCAGATGATATCTCACATTTTTGCCAAGAAAATAGGTCTCAAAGATGAATTGCCTCAACTTCAGACCTCTAAATCTGCAAAGTTATATCTATACATGTCCTCACTTCTTTTGCTTCTCTTGCAGTGTGGAAGTTTTCTTCTACCTGAAGGCAACCCTTGTATTTGCGTTCTGGCTCCTTCCTTCTCAGGAAGATTTCTATAAATCCAGTATCCCTCTCTCTTTCTCTTTTATTTTTAACCTCATGCTCTCTACTGGTTCATTTTCACCAATTATAGACATGGTATCTTGCTCTCTTTCCCTTTCACAGTTGGGTATTTCAAACAAATGCCTAAACTTGACATGATCTATAATTGTGTATTTCAGAACATTTGTTCAGTGGCAGTTTCTCACTATGATTTCATTCATTCATTTCTTTGTTTGGATTGCTAATGCATGATTTTTGTACAAATTCTTTTAATTTGGGGGTTCCTTTCCTTGTTTCTATTTATTCGTTTAAATTTTTTCTTTATTGATATTAGAGAGAGAGAAAAGGAGAGGGAGACAGAAACACAGATGAGAACATAGAATGGCTGCCTCCTGCGTGCCCCACACTGGGAATTGGGCCTACATCTTGGGCATGTGCCCTGACCCAGGATTGAACCAAGAACCTCTTGATGCATGGATGGATGCTCAACCACTGAGCCACACCAGCTGGGCTTGTTTTTATTTTTTTAAGGAAAGACGACATATATTTTCTAAAAACATACTTTGTTTTTTAAAAGGAGCAGATATTAATGCATTATTAGTGCAATAAAACTTACCAAAAGATAGAGGGGAGAACATAAAACAGTGTGTACCATAATTAAAACATTGTTAAGAAACAAAGCATGGCTCTTTGCTTCTCCTTCCATAACAACCAAAAAGAAAACATAAATGTTGCATTGATGTCAAGTAGAAGGCAAAATACAGGTAATCCGAGGACTGAGTGCATATTATTATTTTGGCGTTTTCCCTTCCTTTTCAAAACTTCGGTTGTTTGGCCCTATGGACAACAACCTAGCAATTTTATTGTTTGTTTTTTGTTGTTAATCCTCACCTGAGATTATTTTTCCATTGATTCTTAGAGAGAGGGAGGGAAAAAGAGGAAGAGAGAGATGTGACATCCATCAGTTGCCTCCCAGAGGACCCCTACCAGGACAGGGATCAAAACTGCAACCCAGGTACCTGCCCCTGATGGGAATCAAACCCACAACCCTTGGGTCTGCAGGCCAACGCTCTAACCGCGGAGCCAAACCGACCAGGGCTATCTATCTATCTATCTATCTATCCGACCAGGGCTAGCTAGCTAGCTAGCTAGCTAGCTAGCTATCTATCTATCTATCTATCTATCTATCTATCTATCTATTTATTTAAATTTACCGGCTAATAGCAAGTGATGCACGTTGGGAGTTCGCTGTATGAACCAGACAGGGACTGCTCTGGATTTCCATTCAAGTCTGGAATTCATTCATCCGGGTTTGTAATTGGCTTTCCTCGCATTCGGCGGGAAGACGGGGTGGAGGTGGGGTTAGGCGGGTGGAGGTCCAATTTGACACAATGCGATAAAAATCTCCAGGGCAGCTCTTACATTGAGATTTGCTTTCTTGGTTCTCCGAGTCCCGTCCTGCCCTCTTCCCTTTCCTGACAATCTTGTTTCCCCTCCTGGACTAGGTAAAATGGGTACATTTCTAAGCTGAAAACTAGCGTTGGTGGCCCCTGGTTCCAGGGAAGGATCTCAAGTTCTCGGCCCTCAAAGTCCTCATTCCGAGCAGGGACAAAGCCAACGAGTCCTCCTCCCGAGTTCCACGAAGATCTCGGCACACTTGGGGAGGACAGCGCGTCCCCCGACCCACCTCCGACTCGGTAGAACGTCACCGGAGACGTCTTACCCCCCGAAACACCCTTCTAGCTCGAACCCTACTAACTGGCGCACGCGCAGCACAGGCGCGGGCCGTCCGCCCTCCAGGGATCGTCGGCATCTGCACCGCGGTCACAGCCTCGGAAAGGCCTGGCTCCGTCGGCACCTTGAGGAAATCCCTGGCAGCAGCTACCTAGCATGACTATCCGAAAAAAAAAAAAAGGGAAACAGCTATCCAGTTTCCAGCGCATTTCCGTTTTAAACCCTGACTTCCGGTTCGTCAGCCGGTTCCTGTCCCTGCCTTTCAGTTCCGGTGCCTTCTGTTCCGCTGCGGCAAGTTCCCGCGTCCGCTGCCGACAGTCCCGCCGCGGTCCAGGTGAGCGGGGACTCGGGGCACTCTGGCGTGCTGCCCGCGGAGACGCGCTGGGACCCGGGGACCGCAGCTTTGCTGTGCGCGGGACTCCACTGCCGCGGCCGCGCCTGGCTGGGGGCTACTTGTGGGCGCCCCGGGCCGCGTCTGCCCCGGTCCGCCGCGCAGGCCTCCGGGCCTGCCCCGAGGGTCGCAGGGGCCGCCGCGCTCCCTTCCGGCTTCCTCGCCCAGGTGTAGGGCCCCCCGCACCCCAGTGGGCTTTGTGTCCCCATTTCATTCCACCCTCTGCTGGGGTTTGAGAATCTCCACCTCCCTACTTTCCCTGTTGACACCCCGGCCCTCTCGGACTTAGGGGTCCCTACCTGCTTTCTAGGCTATTGCATACCTGTCCCATCCCACAGCTCTCGCCTCTGCACTGCCTCTCCGTTGCTGCTGTTGGGCTGTCCTGGCTAGAGTTGACAGCAGTCCTCGTTTTCTAGGCTTATTGAAAAACTAATCCTCCTCCCCTAAATCCCCAAGATGTTAACTTTTGCTGTTGTTACTTTCAAATTGCCGCTATTGCAAAATACTTTTTAGTTGTGTAGTCTTAGGCAACTTGTTTTACTTCTTTTTGAGTTTTCTAATCTTTAAAATAATATTAACACTGTGTTTCTTTGACACTGTGTTTCAGTTTGATTCAAAGAGGTCCATTTGGCTTTTTATGGAGGATCATAATGTTTGTTAGAGCAAGTTCATTCTAACATGAAATACATTGCTGAAGTAACACACTTTATTTAAAATTTTAGTAGAGCAGGTTGTAAACATAAGAGAGTAAATATAAATGAATTTGTGGTGCTATGTATATGTTTATATATACATATATGTATATTTTTTTAATTTTATCCCCACCCGAGGACAGTTTTCTTTTGCATTTATCTTCAGATAGAGTGGGAGGGGGAGAGAGAGAGAAACATCCATGTGAGAGAGACACATGGAGTGGTTGCCACCCACACAACCCCAACTGGGCCAGGGACAAACTGCAACTGAGGTAGGTGCCCTTAGTGGGAACCGAACCTGGGACTCTCTGGTCCAAGGGCCAGTGCTCTAACCGCTGAGCCAAACTGGCCAGGGCGGTGGTGCTCTCTTTTAAGGGACATGTTGAAGACACCTGACATCTTAAGTTTTCAAGTTGCTTTTGCATATTAAGATTCAGAATTTGCCTTCTTTCTTGCAGTCGATTATAATACATGAGTACAGTCAAAGGCTTCAATAAACAAGTGATAGGATTTGGAAATACCAATACTTTGATATTAGAAAATCCAGTTCTCTGACCTGTAAGGGGGAACAAACTTACACGAAAACTGGCAGAAAGCTTTGTGGGGGAGCAGGCCTACTTGCTTTTGTTGAAGAGAATAGCAGGTGCTAGCTCATCTTTATACACTTATATATCTGCCTGTGCGTTATGTATGTATTGATCTTTGATGTCTGTAGGTCCATTTCTAGAGACAGTGGTGGTGTTGGGAAGAAATGTGAAATTTATTCAGAAGACTTGTTCTGTTTCCAGCTACATGCCCATGAACAGATTACATAACCTCTCTGAACTCCCATTTCCTTAATTGTAAAAGTGGAACAGTTCTTATCAAACAACCTTGTTAAATGAGATAGTCTCCATAAAAAGTATCCAGTCTATTAAATATGAAGCAAATAATGGCCATTTAGTATTTATTTAGCACAGTGCTTGGAATACTTGAGTTACAGTTTTTGTTTTTAATTTTATTTAACCAATAGTTATGTAATGCTTACTGTGTGCCAAGTACTCTATGATTTATAAATATGAACTAATTTAATCTTCATAAGAACCTTAAGATGTAGGTAGTATTATCATCTCTGTTTTGCAGACAGGGCAGCCTAGGTGCTAAGATTCAAGTAACTTCCCAAAGTCAAATTGTTAATAAGTGGGAGAGCTGGGACCTGAACCCAGATAATATGGCTCTAGAGTTTGTGCTCATAATGACTCACTCTTCCCTCAAATGTTAAATGAACAGTCGTCCATCATGGAGAAACTTGCCTGTAGCATAAACCCGATCAGAGAGGGAGGAATAAGACAGGTCATTATTTTAGCTTTCCAGTTGAACAGATTGAATCTGATAGATTATGAGGACATTGTAACTCTAAACCCGAAATTGGGAGGGTGTGGGAATTTTAATTTTGAGTCCTAGTAACTTTGACATTCTGTTAACATTACTCTAAGAAGATTCTGTTTCTCTACCATCAAGTTGTAAAATGGAACACACACTGCACAGCTTATGAAACTTAAAGATTTAGATACATCTTTGATATATTTATTTTAACTTGTGTATTTGTATATGCCTTTCTTTTAGGTATTTTTTTCTGAACAGAAGCTGCATCAACATATGTTTCAAGGATGGCTCTTCCTATCATCGTAAAATGGGGTGGACAGGAATATTCAGTGACCACACTTTCAGAAGATGATACTGTGCTGGATCTCAAACAGTTTCTCAAGACCCTTACAGGAGTGCTACCAGAACGACAGAAATTACTTGGACTTAAAGTTAAAGGTAATTCTCTCCTCGTGTCAGATTTTTTGCATTGATATGAATTTTTACATTAGCTATTTATTCTCTTTAATAGGTCGCCTTGGGAGATTTCCTTGATAGAGCTGTTTCTAAAATTGTTTTATGAAATAAGAAAGAATATTAAATGTGACTTGAAAATATCACTAGGGTTAAGATTACTTTTGATTTTTCTGGTAGTTGGTGTTTGCTTGTTAAATGTTTGGCACAGAAGTCCCAGGTAAAACAATGTAAGTTTTGACATCTGCCTTTTAGCACAACCTTTACATTATTGCTCGGGCCTTATACTCTCCCTAAATTATCTTTCCTGATTTGAAAACAATGATGATTTAAAATGATCATTAATAGTTATAGGCATTGTTCATATCCAGTCTAAAAGGGACTTTCATGGTGTCTATGTTTGTCATATCATTGAAGGGTATGTTTTGAGTAGCATTAAATCATAGTTATCTTAGGTGCGCAGTTTCTGGAAAAAAAAATCTTCATCATGAACAACAAAACAGACCATAAATTTATTTTGTTTAGTGAGTTCAATAAGGGTGTTTCTTAAGATATAGTTGGGGAAACAATCAAACCTTAGTGTGTTAGAAATTCCTAATTCAGCAGTAACAGTTTGTTAATTTAAGAAAGGGAAGAGAAAAAAAAAAAACTGCTGTGGGATCTGTACCGAACCTTTTACTGTTAGGGTTTTGTGTAATGGATAGTGAAACCAGCACCTGAACTTTAGTGAGAAAACAGTCATTTGCTTGTATTGTAGGCAAACCTGCAGAAAATGATGTTAAGCTTGGAGCTCTCAAACTGAAACCAAATACTAAAATCATGATGATGGGAACTCGTGAGGAGAGCTTGGTAAATGTTTACTTTTGTTACCATTTGTCCCTTTGAAGATATTATGATTTATATTACACTTGTATCCTAGTTTAAATTGTAAAATTTTCAGTTTAGCAGTCAATGAAAAATAAAAGCTGCACAGTGAATGTGATATTAACTCAGCAGAAAACAAATACTGAGGAATTTTTTAGTATATGGTTAGCTGTAAGTATAGTAGTGCAAATGGTCAAATTTAACATGACAAATCTGCCCAGTGAATATTTATAACAAATTATAAAGTGAAAATTTTCCCACAGTGTGTGCTTAAAAACTCTTGAACTCAATCTCTCATTTACTTTTTATACTATGCATGTATTTGTTATGTTCAAGATAGCATGGTAAAAGAAAATGTTTTCATCTTAATAGGAAGATGTCTTAGGTCCACCTCCTGACAATGATGATGTTGTCAATGACTTTGATATTGAAGATGAAGTAGTTGAAGTAGAAAATAGGTAAGTGTTGTTTCACTATCAAAGGAAACTGGTTGTAATGTGAGAAAAAATGAATGTTTCATCTGATTTTATTTTTCCATTAGGGAAGAAAATCTACTAAAAATTTCTCGCAGAGTAAAGGAGTACAAAGTGGAAATTTTGAATCCACCCAGGGAAGGGAAAAAACTTTTGGTACTAGATGTTGATTATACATTATTTGGTAAGTTGGCTAAAATTGTGTTTCATCTTCTGTTATCTACAACTTTTTTCCTTTTGTTTCTTTATTTTTTCTTTTCAATATGAAATATTTGAAAGCTTTTTTTATTATTACAAAAGCAAATCATTCATTGTAGGAAACACATATAAGAATAAAAAGAAATCATCTAATCCTAAGACCCAAAGATGACCACTCTTATACTTATATTTTTGTGTATCTTCAAAGGTGTGTTTCTATGTATATCTTTATTACTTTTGCTTAATGATATATTGACTATCACTAATATTATTCATTGTGAATTAAACATATTTTTTGTCACACAGAATTCTAGTGCATCATAATTTAACCAAGTCATTCCCTATTAATGTAAATTTTTGTGAGGCCCTGGCCGGTTTGGCTCAGCAGTTAGAGAGACCTGGGTTCAGTTTCCGCTAAGGGCATTTACCTCGGTTGCAGTTTGTCCCCGGCCCTGATTGGGCCACGTGGGTGGCAGACACTTGATGTGTCCCTTTCATGTCAGTGTTTCTCTCTCCCTCCCTCCCTCCCTCCCTCTCTCCCTCCCTCCCTCCCTCCCACTCTGTCTGAGCAAAGAATGGAAAAATATCCTTGGGTGAGGATAAAAAAAATAATAAATTTTTGTGAGGATTATTTAAAAATAATTGTTGATATTTTATCCCTAATTTTCTATTTAATTATGTTTAGGGAAGTTTCTTGAATTTAAAATTTCTCATGTCAACAGAAAAAGAAAGCTGTTCATTTCATCCTCTAATATTGTGAAGAAATGATTACTTAACTCCTGGTATTAGGATGAATTTACTTACCTCTATCCTAAACTTTAAGTATGTGTTATAAGTGAATGTACGTTTATTTTAAAATTTGATTATAAGTTAATTGGACCTGTCGTTTTGGTGAAATGTGATTATATCTGGAAGGTGAATGGCTAAAAGTGAGTATAAGTCACTCTAGTCTGTTTTTCATATTATAAAGTAACATCTACACTTTAGAAACTATACGACAAAAAAAATTTATACTTTACTATATATAGGCCTGAGTTCTGGCTATTGCTTTTCACAAATTGAATACAATTGATCAATTAAAATTGGATCACAAGGATATTAAATTCTGTGCTTTGAAGACATTTCTTTGTCAGCCAATGTAATTCACTCTGAAGTAGCATGCATTTGAGTGTTTATATTACATTTCCTAAGTTTAATTGGTATTAGGTACTTATCCACTATAATAAACTAATAATCATTTATAACTGATTTTCTTTTAGACCATAGGTCTTGTGCAGAGACTGGAGTAGAATTAATGCGGCCATATCTTCATGAATTTCTAACGTCTGCATATGAGGATTATGACATTGTTATCTGGTGTAAGCTATATATATATATTTTATTTCCATGGAAATAAAGTTGCTCTTTATTTGTTTAAGCAAATTTTTAATAATTATGTTTAACTTTCTTGCATCACAATATAAACTTATACATTTAGTTGCCAGATACCACTGAAATAGTTAAATATAGGAAGAGAGTAGATTATGGTGTCAGAATAAAAATGGCCTTATTTTCATAAGACACCTCACCCTTGATTAGGAACTTTTCTTTCTGATCTTTACTGTAGAATCTTTCATGTTTCAGGATATTGTTGCTTTCTTTCCTCATCACTCTAGTTTCAAAATACTTGGAGAAAGATATGCATTTTAAAAATCACAGTGATGTGGTTCTTCAGAAGTAAAGAAAGGCAATGTGAATTTACTTAAGGAAAATTAATGAATGGACTAAAGCAGTGTAACTCAAATTCTGGTCTATGGACCATTCCAGAAACTTACAGGTCTGTGATAAGATAAAGGTAATGAGTTTGCTTTGAAAAGTAAATTTACTATATTACTGAGCACCCTGTTTAGTTCACTTGACAATTTTTTTGTGGCAAGACTTTCTTGAAAAGGGAAGCACTGTATTGATTTACATCTCATCTCCCCACAAACATTTATAGTTGGCTCTGGCAATGTCATAAGCAGAGAAGATCTATCCTGATTGTAAATGAAGTAAAATCCAATCAATTAAAGATGCTACATTAATTGTGCTAGGTTTTTTTTTTCTTCTTTCTTTTGGTTAATCTTCAACCTCTAATATTTTTTTCAATGAATTTTAGAGAGAGTGGGAGGGAGGGGGAGAGAGAGAGAAACATTGACGTGAGAGGGAGACATTGATTAGTCCTCCCAAACATGCCCAGACCAGGGACAGAGATCAAACCTGCAACCCATATACGTGCCTTTGTCCGAGAATTGAACCCATGACCCTTCAGTGCTCAGGTCGATACTCGAACCACTGAGCCACACCAGCCAAGGTTGTACTAGTTTTTTGATGAGAGGCCACATAGTTGTATTTCAGTTTGTAAATTTCCTTTGTACTTTTTTTGTAATCAGAGTACCTCCATTGTTCAGTGATAATATGAATTCACAGCCATTAAGATTAAGTAATTAAATGCATAATTTTATGGTTTGTAAGATACAGAAGAAAGCTTCCGGGGGAACAAATTTTTGTTCAGTAACTCTGATATCTGAGATGACAATTGAGAAAAAAGTTTATCTTCTAAATGTTATTAAAGTAGATGTAGAAATTTAGAAAACTTTTTACAATAATAATGTTTGTTTATTTTTATTTATTTATTTATTTATTTTTAAAAGAGTTTTAAATTGATTTTTAGATGCCCCCTACTGGGGATTGAGCCTTCAACCTGGGCATGTGCCCTGACTGGGAATTGAACCAGCAACCTTTCAGTGCTCAGGACAGTGCCCAACCAATTGAGTCACACTAGCCAGGGCACAATCATATGTTTAAAATAAATTACTTTATAGATTATGAAATTTTATGTTAATACTATATGTTGTAGAGGACACCTCATTTTGGAGCTAGAGTAAGGTTTTGATTCTGGCTCTGTCTTTACTATATGATGCTGGGCAGGTCAGTTAATCTGTCTGAGCCTTAGTTTTCTCATCTGAGAAATGAAGATGAGTAAACCTATATTACAGGGTAGTTGTAAGAATTTAAATATTGGTATAACACCTAATACTATGTCTGGCATAGAATAGTTACTTAGTAATTAGAAACCCTTTTTATTAGCTGTGGATGTTTTTGTTTTTCATCTGAAAATCATAAACTCAATATATATCAAATTAAAAAACTTTTTTCCGCCCTGGCCGGTTTGGCTCAGCGGTTAGAGCGTTGGCCTGCGATCCAGAGAGACCCGGGTTTGGTTCCCGCTAAGGGCACGTACTTCGGTTGCAGTTAGTCCCCGGCCCTGGTTGGGTCGTGCGTGTGGCAGCCACTCGATGTGTCCCTTTCACGTCGATGTTTCTCTCTCTCTCTTTCTTTCTCTCCCTTCCGCTCTGTCTGAATAAAAAATGGAAAAATGTCCTCGGGTGAGGATTAACAAAAAAAAAAAAAATTAAAAAACTTTTTTCCTTTTCCTCATGATTATTGTCATTGTAGATACATCAGTCTCTAAAGTTTTAGTTCAGCTAGCCAGTTTTTCATGGAAGGTGATTCCTTTGGTTGTTGTGTTTATGTGTGCTAAAGATGCTTATTTTGAGACTGCAGGTACCTTTATTGCCCTTAAAACACACACACACACACACACTTTAAGTAATTGAATTCCTTTTTCCCTTTTTAAACATTTTGCTTGGTAACACCTTTTTGGTTTAATGCAGTAACTTGAGACCAGGAGGGCACATAAAGGTGAGAGTTTATGTTTTAATATCAGTGGTCTCAAAACTGCTTGGTGTCAGACAATAAGCAGATACATGACATAGTTCAGTCATGAATTTAGTTGTCTCAGACTTCCTGTCTGAGCTGCTAAACTAAATGAGCATTGAGTTTGCTGAGTCTGGCAGAATTTATTAAACCTAGCTAATCTTTAACATTAACTTTTTTTTCTTGAGAGAGGGAGAAACATGGATCCTTTGCCTTCTATATGTGCCCCAACTAGGGATCGAACCTGAAACCTAGGCATGTGCCTTCACTGGGAATCAAACCCGCAACCTTTTGGTGTTCTGGAAGACCAACTGAGCCACCTGACAGGGCGTTAACTTTTCTTTTTTGTAATACTCACCCAAGAATATATACATACATATATATATTTTTTTTACCCTTAACCAAGGACATTTTTCCGTTTTTTGTTCAGATAGAGTGGGAAGGGGAGAGAGAGAGAGAGAAACATCAATGTGAAAGGGACACATCGAGTTGCTGCCTCCCACACGACCCAACCAGGGCCGGGGACAAACTGCAAGCAAGGTACGTGCCCTTAGCGGGAACGGAACCCGGGTCCCTCTGGACCACCGGCTGACGCTCTAACCGCTGAGCGAAACCGGTCAGAGCAAGAATATATTTTTTTAATTTTTTTTTTTTTTTTTACTGATTTTAGAGAAGAAGGGAGAGGGAGGGAGCTAGAAAATCCATGAGAGAGAACATTGATTGGCTGCCTCCTGCATGTCCCCCACTGGGGATGGGACCCACAACCTGGGCATGTGCCCTGAACGGGAATCTAACTGGCGACCTCTTGGTGCATGGGTTGATGCTCAACCACTGAGCCACACTGGCCGGGCCTAAGGATATTTTTCTGTCTATTTTTCGATAGAGTGGAAGGGTGGGAGAGAGAGAGAGAAACAAACATTGATGTGAGAGAAACACGTCGATTGGTTGCCTCCTGCACGACCCCTACCAGGGCCAGGGGTCAAACCCAAAATGCAGGTATGTGCCCTTGACTAGAATCAAACCTGCAACCCTTCTGTCCTCGGGCTGACGTTCTAACCACTGAGAAAAACCGGCCAGGGTTTAACGTTCACTTTTGACACATAATATTAATCTGCTTATGTTGACATACATACTTGTACATTGCCTGGATAGAAGAAAATACGGATCCAGATACCCTAAATTGAAGTTTGGAACTGATAGAGAATAGTATCAGGTTTTTTTTTAAGGAGAATTTAGGTCTTGATTTATAAATTTCTTAGGTTCAGAGTTCTTTTGAGAATTGGTTACCTGTATCTTTTAGGTAAAGGTAGTTGTTTAAATTTTATTCTGTCTTAAAGACATACTAAAATAAATTTATTTTTATAAATACTTATAGGAAAATTGCCATAAATGTAATTTTTTGAACTTTTAGAAAACTTAACTATTTATACAGATGAAAGTTTTTTTAACTGACATTCGAGCTTTTCATATGTTTTATATTATCATTCCTCATGTTTTAGCTGCAACAAATATGAAGTGGATTGAAGCTAAAATGAAAGTAAGTGTCCGAAAACAATCCATTTAAGAATGTTTTGAAACTGCATTTGTCTTTTTTAAAGTTTCTAATTGGATTAGTCCTTTTCTCGTTGGGGGCATTTGGTAGATAAATAAACTGTATTAGGAATTAGAGGTGTGTTTAAAATCTGATGGTCAATTTTATTGAATACCTCTGTCTTTTTCAAGAGAAAGTATAGCAGAGCTCCCCCTTTCTCACCCCTCTCATTTTACTATGGTGCTTTCTTTTCTTTCTTTTATTCTGGTGTGTGATACTTAAGGGAGTGACACTCTTCTAAAATAATGAATTGGAAGGTAATTTGTCTCTAGTTTATTTCTTTGGACTGCCATTTATTGACTTAGCTAAATGAAACTAAAACACTTGCCAGTTAAGTAAGAGGTGGTGGCCAGGGAGGTAGAAAGTTGGCATTATGGGAAATTATAGCTTATAATATTCAGAAAGCTTGGGATTTTCCACATTATTATATTTTAACCATATGACTATTTGTATTTATAGGAGCTGGGAGTGAGCACAAATGCAAATTATAAGATTACCTTCATGTTGGACAGTGCTGCTATGATAACAGTGCATACACCAAGGAGAGGATTAATAGATGTAAGAAGTCATATTTAAAGACTTATTTTCTAATGTACTTTTGTATTTATACTGATGGTATAAACTACAGAAAGAGATTAGAAGTACATCTGAGTGCAGAGTAAAGTATCAGTTGAGTTTTGACTTAGGAAGATGAATTTAAGGTTAATAGATTTGAATTTTATTTTTTATTTTATTTTTTAGATTTGAATTTTAATTATAAAATTAAGGGTCTTGATGCAGGAAAGGTCAAGAAAGGATAATTGTCTCATGGCAATGGTAGCACAGTGTTGCTAAAGACAGAGTAGGTAAAAAATACTGACCGTTACCAAGGGAGATGCTAGAGACAAACCAAAACAGACTTGCTGTGCCCTTTGTGAAACTGATAAAAGAAAAGATACCTCATGATGTATGTAATTTGGAGTGGTGTATGTGAAGCCCTAGAGAATAGCAACAAGAGCCATCAGGAAAAAGGATTGGGCTAGTAAGATTAGGGTTCTTTATTTACTTGTCATTCAACTCCTGTCTGCAAGGCCCTCTGAAAGCACTGTTGGAAAGAGATAGACATGTTCCATGCCTTTGGAAACAAACTAATAAGAATTGGGGAACTTAGCATTCTAGGAAGCTTAGGGAAAACAGTATTAAAATTGTCAAAACCATAAATAGAACAGTTTAAGTGCATGGGGATTTGCTCAATGAAGGAAATACATATATCATGGGGAAAATATAATTATTACTTACTAAAGTGGTACATTTACAAAATCTAAACAGTAAAAGGAAGTTTGGGAAATGTTAAACGTAGTGTTTATAATAATGACAAATTAGAGGAGTAAAAATCCTTACTATCTGACAATAGGGAATTGGAATATAAATTTATGTTTATCCATGTAATGGGACACAGCTAAATCATATGATGTAGTAGAATATTTAGTGCTTTAGAATTTTTTTGTAACACATCATTAAAGTGAAAGAAGTATTTGAAAACTGATAGAAAATAGTCGTTATCCTCTGTTTGGTTCAGGGTTCCCCTTAGCTTAACAAAAGATCTGTGACCTTTCTGAGGTCGCTGCTATTTATAAAAAAGACTGAAGGTAAATAATTTTATCAGAATATCTAGCTGTTATCTTTAGTACTGAGTGGATTATAAGTAATTTAAATTTTTTCTTTGTGCTTTTCAATTTTTTTCTATTGTCATCAATATTCTCTAATTGAGAACAAAATCATCCATGTTTGGGGAACAATTTGACCTAATTACAAAAAGACAACACTGTTTAAGAGGATGTAGGATTTCTAACCTTGGATATCATAAAGCTCTTGTCATATTTCTTGAGACTTTGTTAACCAAGAAAACCAAGAATCTGGCTTATTGTGTCAGCTTATGTCAAGTACTTGAGGGGTTTGTTTCAGTAGTAAACAAGTAGTACAAACAAATTCAGGCAAATAAAATTTTAGTAAAATTAAAATATTTTAATATTTTTTGCTGCAGCTAGGGTACTAAGAGGAAAATAGGCTTTCTTTACATTAAATTATAGGAGAAAAAGGACCCTGTTTTTAATCCTCACCCAAGGACATTTTTGCATTTATCTTTAGATAGAGCAGGAAGGAGAGAAAGAGGAAGAAAGAGAGAGAGAGAGAGAGTGAAACATCAATGTGAGAGAGACACATTGACTGGCTGCCACCCGCACGGACAAACTGCAGCCAAGGTACCTACCCTTAGCGGGAACCAAACCCAGGACTCTGGTCCGCGGGCCCGACACTCTAACCGCTGAGCCAAACAGTCCAGGGCAACATTTTTTTTTTTTTAATGTTCACCTAAAGACATGATTATTGATTTTACAGAGAGGGTTGGAGGGGGAGAGAGAGAAACGTTGATTCATTGCCTGCAGTACATGCTCTGACCTGGAATTGAACCCACAACCTTTCAGTGTTCAGGTCAACACTCCAACCAACTGAGCCACCTAGCCAGGGCAAAACTTAACATTTTTATTTATTTATTTATTTATTTATTTAATCCTCAGCCAAGGATATTTTTTCTATTGATTTTTAGATAGAGTGGGAGGGAAGAAGGGGGAAAGAGACAGAAACATCATTTGGTTACATCTCACATGACCCTGACCAGGGCCCCGGTCAGGGATTGAACCTACATACCAGGTATGTGCCCTTGACCTGAATCGAACCCGTGACCCTTCTGTCTGAGGGTCTATGCTCTAACCTCTGAGCCAAACCAACCAGGGTGAAAATTTAACATTTTAAATGATAACCCTTGCCACCATTTACCTATTACCATTTGAATCTCATAATTGCTATTATGATATCTCATATTACCATAAATGGGACTCCTGCCTTCATCAAAATGTAATTTATTTAAAAATGTTTTTTCTAAATGTATAAAATACATTCACATGAGTCAGAATTAAAGGTACATAAGAGAAGTCTTTCTCCCACTTGGGCCCTCCAGCCATTTAACTCTCCTTCCCACAGGAAATCACTGTTACTTCTTGTGTGGTATGACAGACCTAATGCGAGAACCAACAGATACGAATGTATAAGGAATTAATCTTTTTGAGGCTCTTTTTAAAAATTCAGAAATAAAAGCAAGAACTTACAAATTATGGTGCTTTTGAAGTTAAGCAATTAAATGCCCTAGAAATTTTGCACTTATGTCAATGAATTAAAGACCAATTTTTCTATAAAAAAGTCTGTATTAAAATATTTAAATTCTGTATTAAAAGCCCAGGTACATGGTCCATCTCTAAGGTTTTCTAGTTTTGAGAACAGATCCCATGTGACCTTGAAGTTCTGAGGGGGTAGTATTAGCCCAGAAAGTCATGTGACTGCCTAGCAGACATTTAAACCATTACTTTAGATTCTTTTCAAATTAAACAGTCCCTCTTTCTTTGACCCCAAATTTTTATGTTGAATTTATGGAAAGTCTTATAATGGGGTTTAGTTTAGGTAGATGTGAACAGATCTTTCAGAAGTTAACATTTCAAGATACAGTGTGTTTTCAAGTGTGTTGCATCTCAGTTCTGGGCTGTTCACAGAGCCAGCTGTCCCTGTCTTAACAGAGGACACGGACACTGTGGGGAATTTTTATTATCTCTGCTTTTATTTATTTATATTATTATTTTTTAATCCTCACCTGAGGATATATATATATATAAATATATTTTTATACTCACCCGAGCACATTTTTGCATTTATCTTCAGATAGAGTGGGAGCGAGAGAGGGAGGAAAAGAGAGAGAGAACCATTGATGTGAGAGAGACACATCGTGTGGCTGCCACCCACAGGACCCCAACCTGGGCCGGGCACAAACTGCATGAGGTACTTGCCCTTAGCGGAAACCGAACCTGGGACTCTGTCCGCAGGCTGATGCTCTAACTGCTGAGCCCAACTGGCCAGGGCTCATTATCTCTGCTTTTAAGAAAAGGTGAACTATTGATAAAATTTTAGTTAAATCTGAACTTTTATTCTAAGGTAAAGCCTCTTGGTGTTATATGGGGAAAGTTCTCGGAGTTTTACAGCAAAAAGAACACCATTATGTTTGATGACATAGGAAGAAATTTTCTAATGAACCCACAGAATGGACTAAAGGTAAGACATAATTTTACTTGCTATCCTCATGTAACCTGGAATATGTGGTAGAACTTTAGCATTGTTGAATTTCATAAATTTTTGGAAGTACTGTATTATTATGGTTCCATAAGAAAAACTTAAATATTTAGAAAAATATACGTAAAATTGAACACTGCCTCCTTGGTTAGTCAACTCATCCAGGGGTGGTTATTTTTTTAAATTAGTTAATTTATTTTTGTTACAGATGTTTTTCCTCCCCCCTCGCACACCGTCCTCCCAATCCTACTCCCTCCACCCCTCCCCCCCACGAGCATTGTCTGTCCATTGGTTATGAATTCATGCATATAAGTTCCTTGGTTTACCTCATCCCGCCACCCCACCTCCACCCCCAGTCCCCTCCTCGAGGTTTGCCAGTCTGAACCATACTCCTTTCCATGTCTCTGGGTCTATTTTGTCATCATCTTTTTTGTTCATTATATTCCACAAATAAGTGAGATCATGTGGTATTTGTCTTTCTCTGGCTTATTTTGCTTAGCATAATAATTTTGAGGTCCCTCCATGTTGTCTCAAAGGATAAGAGATCTTTCTTCCTTACAGCTGCATAGTATTCCATTGTGTATATGTGTCACACCTTTTTTCCACTCGTCTATTGATGGACATTTGGGCTGTTTCCAGATCTTAGCGATTGTAAATAGTGCTGCTATGAACATAGCGGTATATATTCTTTTTGATTGGTATTTCAGGCTTCTTAGGATATATTCTTAGAAGTGGGATCACTGGGTCAAATGGCAGTTCCATTTTTAATTTTTTGAGGAGACACCATATCGATTTCCATAGTGGCTACACCAATCTGCATTCCCACCAGCAGAGTACTAAGTGCCCTTTTCTCCACACCCTCACCAGCACTTGTTTGATGATTTGTTGATGGCAGGTGTGAGGTGATACCTCATAGTAATTTTAATTTGCACCTCTCTGATGATTAGTGACATTGAGCATTTCTTCATATGTCTCTTGGCCATTTGTATGTACTGTTTGGAGAGGTGTCTATTTAGTTCCTCTGCCAATTTTTAAATTGGGTTCTTTGTCTTCCTTTTGTTGAGTTGTGTGAGTACTCTATGCATTTTGGAAATTGACCCCTTATCTGATGTATCATTGGCAATTATGCTGTTCCATAGAGTGGGTCCCCTTTCCTTTTGATGCTTTCTTCTTTTGCTGTGCAGAAGTTTTTTAGTTTGATGTAGTTCCATGTATTAATTTTTTTCTTTGTTTCTCTTCCCTTAGGCATTGTATCATTGAAAATTCTGCTGCATGTAATGTCTAAAATTTTGTTGCCTACATTTTCTTTTAGGATTTTTATGGATTCACGAGTCACATTTAAGTCTTTTATTTATCTTGCGTTTATTCTTGTGTATGGTATAAGTTTGTAGTCTAGTTTCATTTTTTGGTTTGTTTGTTTTTTGCATGTAGCTGTCCAGTTTTCCCACCATCATTTATTCAAGAGGCTATTACTCCATTGTATGCTCTTGCCACCTTTGTCAGATATTAATTGAGCATAATGTCTTGGGTCAATTTCCAGGTTCTCTCTTCTGTTCCATTGATCTATATGCCTGTTCTTGTGCCAGTACTAGGCTGTTTTGATTACAGTGGCTTTATAGTATTACCTGATATCCAGTATTGTGATCCCTCCTACTTTGTTCTTCTTTTTCAAGATTGCTGTGGCTATTCGGGGTCTTTTTTGGTTCCATATTAACTTTTGAAGTATTTGTTCTAGTTTTATGAAATATGTCGTTGGTATTTTGATGGGGATTGCATTGAATCTATAGATTGTTTTGGCTAGTATGGACATTTTAATGATGTTAATTCTTCCAATTCATGAACAAGGTATATGCTTCCACTTTTTTATATCTTCCTCTATTTTGTTTTTTCAATGTCCTGTAGTTTTCTGCAAATAGGTCCTTTACTTCTTTGGTTAAGTTTATTTCTAGGTATCTTAATTGTTTTGCTGCGATGATAAATGGGATTGTCTTTTTAGTTTCTCTTTCTGTGAGTTCATTATTGGTGTATAAGAATGCCTTTGATTTCTTGATATTAATTTTGTATCCTGCTACCTTGACAAATTAGTTTATTATGTCTAGTAGATTTTTGATGGAGTCTTTAGGATTTTCTATATACAATATCTTGTCATCTGTCAATAATGACAGTTTCACGTTCTCCTTTTCCATTTGGATCCCTTGTATTTTTTCTTCATGTCTAATTGCTGTGGCTAAGACTTCCAGTACTGTGTTAAATAAGAGTGGTAAAAGTGGGCATCCCTGTCTTGTTCCTGTTCTTAAGGGAAGTGCTTATAGTTTTTGCCCATTGAGTATGATGGTGGCTGTAGGTTTTTCATATATGGCCTTTATTATGTTGAGATATCCCTCTATTCCCACATTGGTGAGCGTTTTTAATAGAAATGGGTACTGGCTTTTGTCGAATGCTTTATCAACATCTATTGATATGATCATATAGTTTTTATCTTTCATTTTGTTTATGTGGTGTATCACATTTATTGATTTGCGAATATTGTACCAGCCTTGTATCCTTGGGATGAATCCCACTTGGTCATGGTGAATAATTTTTTAAATGTGTTGCTGGATCTGATTTACTAATATTTTGTTAAGGATTTTGGCATCTATGTTCATCAGGGATATCGGCCTGTAGTTTTCTTTCTTTGTAGTGTCTTTATCTGGTTTTGGAATTAGAATTATGCTGGCCTCATAAAATGAGTTTGGAAGTCTTCCTTCTTCTTGAATTTTTTGGAATAGTTTGAGGAGAATGGGTGTTAATTCTTTTTTGAATGTTTAGTAAAACTCCCCTGTGAAGCTGTCCGAACCTGGGCTTTTGTTTGCTGGGAGATTCTTGATTACATCTTTAATTTCCTTAGTTGTTATTGGTCTGTTCAAGTTTTCTATCACTTTCTGGTTCAGTTTTGGGAGACTGTTTCTAGAAATTTGTCCATTTTGCCTAAATTGTCCCATTTGTTGATGTATAATGTTCATAGTATTTTTTAACGATCCCCTGTGTTTTTGTGGAGTCAGTTGTTACTTCTCCTCTTTTGTTTCTGATGATGTTTATTTGGGTCCTCTCTCTTTGTTTCTGGGTGAGTCTAGCTAAGGGTCCATCAGTCTGATTTATCTTTTCGAAGAACCAGCTCTTTGTTTCATTGATCTTTTGAATTCTTTTTTTAGTTTTTATGTCATTTATTTCTGCTTTGAGCTTTACTATTTCTTTCCTGCTACTTTGTGTTTTTCTTTTTGTTCGCTTTCTAGTTCTTTAAGTTGTGAGATCAGATGATCAATTAGAAATTTTTCTTGTTTCCTGAGGTAGGCCTGTAGTGCTATGAACTTTCCTCTCATGACTGCTGTTTCTGCATCCCATAGATTTTGTGTTGTTGTATGTTTGTTTTCATTGGTTTCCAGGAAGTTTTTAATTTCTTCCTGGCTCTCCTTGGTAACCCGTTCATTGTTTAGTAACATGCTATTTAGCCTCCATGTATTTAAATGTTTTTGCATATTTGTGTTGTAATTGATTTCTAGTTTCATGCCAGTGTGATCTGAGAAGATGCTTGATATGATTTCAATCTTCTTGAACTTGCAGAGACTTAGTTTGTGTCCCAACATGTGGTCTATTTTTGAGAATGTCCCATGTGCCCTTGAGATGAATGTGAATTCTGCAGTTTTGGGGTGTAAATCTCTGTCGTTATCTATTAAATCCATTTGATCTAGTGTATCATTTAGAGTCTCTGTATCCTTGATAATTTTTTGTCTAGAGGATCTATCCAGTGATGTTAGTGAGGTGTTGAAGTCCCCTGCTGTGATTGTATTGCTGTCGATTTCTCCTTTGAAGTCCTCCAGAAGGTTTTAAATATATTTTGGTGCTCCTATATTGGATGCATATATGTTTACCAAGGTTATATCTTCCTGTTGGATAGATCCTTTCAGGTGTTTTATTTTTAATTAAATTTGTAGAGCAACATGAGTTTACTGACCATTGATTTTTTTAGCATCAAAAGTGAAAAGATCAGACATTTTGTTAATGAGGGATACAGACTTTGGAATTTTGTATATTCTAGTTATCTGGAAAGCTGGTGGTAAGAGTTTTTTGGTTTTTTTGTTGGTTTGTGTTAAACTGAAACTAAGAAAAGGTTCTGAAAATTAAAACAGGATAAGTGGAATTATAAAATGCCAGAGCTAGAAGGAACTTCGGTCATCTTGCCTCCCTTTTTTTTTTTAAATCTTCACGTGAGGATATTTTTTCCATTTATTTTCAGACAGAGTGGAAACAGTGGGGAGAGAAATATCAATGTGAGAGAGACACATCGATTGGTTGCCTCCCGCACAACCCTGACCTGGGCCGGGACTGAACCGCAAGCCAGGCACATGGCCTTGACCAAAATTGAACCTGAGACTCTTTGGTCCTTGGGCCAATGCTCTAACTGCTGAGCCAAACCAGCCAGGGTTTGGTTCCCTTCTTTATAGAAACAATCTGAGGACCAGAAAGTTGATGACTTGTCCAAGATCATGTATGTAACTGGTTAATAATAGAATTTGAGTTAGAATCTAAGTAACTTGGTTCCTAGGCCAGTGATGATCTTTGCATGAAGTCACGTGCAATCTTGTGTAGGTGTGATAGTGACTTTTAATTCTGATAGCAGTATAAAATTGTTAAGAGAGAAATTTGAAAATAAAGATTTCTGGTATCTGTGTTTGCCTGTCAATACAATGTGAAGATGGGAGAGATAGCTCTCTATGATGGTACTAATGCAAGTGGAGTCTCCATTTGAGGTGGAAATCCTGACATTAAGATATTTTTATTCTCTGTCCTGAACTTTTTCACAAGCTGTGTTTTTGATAACTTAAAAAAGATAAGAGAAAAATGTGAAGAAAGTACTCTTTTGAAGTTTTCCTTACAGAACAATGATGTGGTCTTTGTACAGTGAGGATAGTGTAGGGACAGAATGCTAATCTAGCTAGTGAATGGCCACAAATACAAAAGCTGTTGACTTGAAAGTACTTGGTGTAGATTGGTGGTTATGTCACCCTTTAAAAATGGGTTCTGTTTGAGGATATGGGAGAAATGCTTTTCCTGTGTGTAGTTTAAATTGAGGTATAACAAAGGATGTCCCCCAAAAATGTATACAGGGTATCTGTAGATTCTATTATATTTTGAAAATGAAATGTATTTTAATAAACACTGACTTTATAATTATTCAAAATTGTGTATACATTTTTTTGGGACACCTTATTATTAGTTTCAGGTATCTAACATAATAATTTGATATTTGTATTTATTGCAAAATGATCACTGCAGTAAGTCTAGTTAACATCTGTCGCCATACATAGTTTCAATTTTTTTTTTTCTTGTGTTAAGAAATTTTAAGATCTCTCTTAGCAACTTTTACATATGCAATACAGTATTATTGATTATAGTTACCATGCTGTACAAGACATCTCCCTGACTTATTTATTTTATAACTGGAAGTTTATGCCTTTGATGCCCTTTACCTATTTCTTCCACACGCACCCCCCCCCCCCACCGCCTCTGGCAACCACCAATTTGTTCTCTGGATCTATGAGCTAGCTTGGTGGTTATTTTTATTTCATTTTTTATTCCACATATAAGTGAGAAAAAGAATAATTTTTGAGAAGAGCTTAAACTTTAAAAATATATATAATCATTAGTTTCATGTCTGTTTTAAAAACTTTTATTTTCCTAGCCAACATTTGGGCCCTACTCATCTTTGTATGAAGAGATGGTAATATAAATTTCTAGTTCTTCATATTACTGTACAGCTGGATATATATACACACACACACACACACACACACACACACACACATATATATTTTAAATCAGAGTATTCAGTAGAATCACTGAAGGAATTCCTAAAGATACATGTTGCCACCCCCAAAATTCTAATTCGGGAGGGGTATATTTAAGCATTGCACAGGTAATCTCTCACATGTCTCCTTTTGAAAACTTCTTATAAGAAGGTAGTTATTAATGATCTGTCCACACTAACATAGAAGCAGTTTTGAAATTGAGAAATATTCTTAAATACTATGTTTTGTTATCATGGTTTCATAATGCTTTTGGTACAAATCTCAAAAAAGGAATTTAGAGATTTTAAACAAAAGACTGTTATTTTAAAAATAGTTAACTTTTAATAATACAAACTTGCTACTCTAAATGTTTGAAATATCATATAGAAGGCATTGTAAATTATTAATATAGTATTGAACTAAAAGAACTTGAATTTTGGTGATAGATAAATCACTTGAGACTCTGAAAACTTCATTTTTAATATCTGTACAAGGAAATGATATAAGAAAATTCAGATAATTTAGACATTCTTAAGGTCCTAAAATTGCTGTTTTGACTTGAGCAACAGCGGTCATATATGTTTTTTGCACTGCTGGTGAGCACTTAGATCACTTTTGAAAAAGGATACAGCAAGCAGTGATTATACTGGAACAGTGAAGTCAATTAGGTGAATAATAGGTTTTCTTTTTCACTTAACTAGTTTATTAACTTTTAGACTCAGGATCATTGCTTATTTTAGTTTTGTTGCTTAATAGTGCCCAAGACCAAATGGTTAGAAAGTAAAAGTAATTTAGCAGGGCCTTGGGTTGAAAATCTTATTTACCAGCCACTGGACTCTACTTTCTCTTTTAGTTTAAATTCCCTCCTGCTTTTAAACTTGGAATCACTTTGGTAAATTATATATTAATAGTTTAAAAGTTAATATGTTGCCTTTACATCTTTAGTTGAATGAAGGGGTACAATAAAACATTACAGTATACTTATTCACTACATCAGGATATCACACATATTTCACTCCCAGCCTCAGGGCTTAAGCAAGGCCCTGCAAGAGTCTTAGTCTTCTTCTTCTTCTTCCTCTTCCTCCTCCCCCTCCCCCTCCCCCTCCTTCTTCCTTCTTCCCCTGTCCCTCTCCTCCCTCTTCTTTCTCCTCTTCTTCTAAGTTTATTTTTTATTGTTGACAGTATTACAGATGTACCCTATTTTCTCCCTACTTTCCCCCTCCACCCAGCCCCTGCTGTGCCCCAGACCTTCACCACACTATTGTCTGTGTTCATGTACTACATATATGCATATAAGTTCTTTGATCAAGAGTCTTCTTGATCTCCCCACATTCACTGCTACTGCTGTGAAACAACACTGCCCATGCTGCCTGTTTGGAAGTAGGATCTCCTGCAATGCTTGCTTCTGTGCAGACTCTGACAGCTGTCTGTTCTTCACTGTTACCATACAAAATCAGTAACTCGTGGCCAGTTTGCATTTTTTCCAGAACACCGTGAGGATATGTTAATATTTTACTGAGTATTATTTATTCAGTCCTTACATGTGTCTTTCAGGAGTATGTGAGATTTTGTTGTTGTTGTTGTTAATCCTCACTGGAGGATTTTTTTCATTGAATTTTAGAGCGAATGTAAGGGAGAGGGAAGTGGGGGAGAGAGAGAGAGAGGTACATGAACATGAGAGAGACACATTGACTGGCTGCCTCCCGCACACACTCTGACCATGGCCGGGAATGAGCCTGCAACCCCCAGGTACATGCCCTTGACCAGAATCGAACCCATGGCCCTCCAATACGCAGGCCAACACTCTAACCACTGAACCACACTGGCCAGGGCTGTGAGATTTTTTTTTTAAATATATTTTTTATAATGGAAAAGTCCAAATATAAATAGACTGCATAGAAATTGTATAACAAAACCTCCATTTTTGTATCATCCAGTTCAAACAACTTATTCATTCATGAATGATTATGTTTACTCTATACCTACTTCCCTTTCTGTAGTATTTTGAAGCAAATTCCAGACATATCATTTTATTTAAAATCAATTTAAAAATAGTTAAAGGCTATCTTGAGTTATAAAGGTATCTGAGCTGATGTCTTTAAAAAAGCAAAACTCTTTATTGGAACCATAACAAAGAAATGTGCATACAATTTATAGTTTAGCAAATCATGATAAAGGTAACATATATAACTGCCACTGAAGTTAAGATATAATATCCTTATTAATTACAGTTCTCCACCATGCTTACCATCTCACTCTGAGCTTTTAAAATTAATCAAAATATATTAACCTTAAATTTTTTATTGTAAAATACTTCAGTAGTAAAATTTGGAAAATAGGACTTTTTATGGGAAAACTCTTGTATAATTTAAAAGATTTTTATGGAAACTTTAATGGTAGATGCTTAAGATAAAATGAGATAGGAAACAAGTTATAAAAATGTATGCTATCTTAGCTATATAAGAATTTTATAGAAAAATACCGAAATGAAAATCATCAATGTTAGAATTTATCTCCCTTGTTAGCTCAACCTTGTATTTGGGTTAACCTTTTATGAATGAAGTGATCTGAATGAAATTATTCAATGAATGAGAAGCAGCTGGATTGATAGAAGAGGGGGGAACTATCTAAGCTGTTAAAGAAGAGAAGCCGTGTAGGGTTCGAATGCTGTAAGAAAGCCGGTGTTTCAGGTTCAGACTGAAAAGATAACGTAAGGTAAATTAGGTGGAAGAGTTCTTAGCTTATACTGTAAACATTATACCATGACTATCAGTTTAAACTGAGATAATGTAAAAGTAATTTTTAGCATTGCCATTTTTGGTGACACTTTAATCTCATTAACTCAAAATGATAGAATGGTGTAGATTTGTACTAGTTTCCATATTGCAATGTGAAATGCTGGGTAATGTTTGTTTCCCAATAGATAAGGCCTTTTATGAAAGCACACCTAAATCGAGATAAAGACAAAGAACTTTTAAAATTAACTCAGTACCTCAAGGAAATAGCAAAATTAGATGACTTTTTGGACCTAAATCACAAATATTGGGAAAGGTAAGTACTAATTATTTATTAATTTTCTCTTTGTATTAATGAATGTGTTATATGGGAATGTAATGTTCTCAGACTGCAAAATAATGTCAGCATAAAACACACTAAAATTTTTTCTGTTAAAAATTAATCTACAAATAATCTCTCTGTGTAGCAGAAAAGTTAGAAAACTTTATTCCACTAGAAAAACAATTACTTTTTATTTTCCTTTTCAAAGATATCCACTGTTACCATCTTGATGTATATAATCTTCAGTCTCTTCTAAGCACAAACATATGCACAAATCTACATAAAGACTACATGTAAACATCAAAATTTTGGCCGTGGCTGTTGTGGCTCAGTTGGTTGAGTGTCATCTCATTAAAAACAAAACAAAAAAAATAAAGATTTTGATGCAGGGAAAAAGTCTCCTGAGAAGTAAACAGGATTATTATGTACTGCAAGTAATTTTTTAGAATTTGATCTTTAAAGATCTGATTCCACTAATACAGCAAGAGGAAAAAACTGTTCACGTACTAATATCACTTTGGCTTTTCAAATTTCACTTTTGGCTTTCCTATCACTCTGACATATAGCTTTGTATTAGAGTCTCAATCCCAACAGCAAGACGAGGCAGGCATTTTTATCTCCATCTCACAATTGTGGGTGGTGTAACTTCAATGATAGGTGTAAGTGCCACAATGCCATGAAGTGAGCAAGTGTTGCACCATCAAAACATCCAGGTGTTAGGATTTTTTTTTTTATCCTCACCCCAGGATATTTTTTCCATTTATCTTCAGATAGAGCAGGAGGGAGAGAGGGGGGAAGAGAGAGAGAGAGAAACATCGATGTGAGAGAGACACATCGACTGGTTGCCATCCACACGACCCCAACCGGGGCCAGGAACAAGCGCAGACGAGGTATGTGCCCTTAGTGGGAACCGAACCCAGGACTCTGTTCCACAGACCAGTGTTCTAACTGCTCAGCCAAATCGGCCAGGGCTAGGTGTTAAGATTTTAAGAACTCTTTCCTTACCCCCATTACCACCAAGTAGGGTAAATCATAAATGTGAGAAGAAGAGATATAAAAGTTTTCATTTAGTGATAGATTCCTATAAAATAATATGAAGAAAAATGTGATTAGTAAATTAATGTTTTTACATCTTTACACTCTTGATCAGAATCCCTTGGCATCTTTGGGCTACTTATATTTGTGCAAGAAAAATAAGATATTTAAATGGAGTTTAAAGGTTTTGGGGAGGGGAGTAAATTACACTACAAATTATTTGGAAGCTTAAGGCAGTATAGAGTGATAGAGTACAACACCCAGGGCCTTATTTTAAATTTGAGCTCTGCCACTTTCAAGCTATGTGAACTTGGGTGACTTGCTTAACCTCTTTGTTTCTGTAAAATAGGAATAAGTTCTAATAGAAAACTTTTCATACAGCTGTTGTGAGGACTAAATGAACTTAGAATATGTGCTTAGAACAGTGCTAGGCACATAGTCAAAAGAAGTTAGTGATTATTAACAGTTATTCATCTTTAAAGGTTTGTTACTAAAATAAACTGCTTTCTTTGGGGGAGAGAGTTAGATGATTATTGTAAATTTAGCACGATGCAGCTTAAACATCTCTCTTTTATTTCTTGCAGGTATCTCTCAAAGAAGCAAGGACAGTAGTTCCAAGTTATGCTGGCAGCTATTGAAGATACTTGAGATCCACGAACTCTTGCTTTTATGCTAGAAATCATTATAATAGTGCTGGACACTGAAGCAAATACCAGACTGCTTATACTTGGTCTTCCAGTTTTTTGTAAATTTAATTTTATATTTTTTGAAGATCATAGCAATATGCTAAAAATATTCTCTTTTTTCCCCTATGTGAATATACTGTTACTCTTGAAAAATATTTTCTCCAGGATTGAGTACTGAGTTTTTTCCCTCCATGTACACAAAAAGGGGACAAAAATGTATATTCAACAATGTCATTGTGTGACTTTGGAAACAACTTATGTCCTGTGTTCCTGCCTTATTTATGTTGTTGTCGGACTAAATCTAAGACCAAACCCATCTTGAAACTACTGTGTTTCCTTTTAAAACAAAATATATATATATTTTTTTCAGTAAGGAACCTAGTTTGGTATGCTTAAAATCACCCAGAGTTTTTTTATTCCTTTGACATAAACACAATTTCCCTTCTTCCTCCACTATTTACATCTCTAAATTCTGAGCTGTCTCAGTTCGGTTGTATGTGTGTCAATGTTCTTTGAATAAAACTGGAAAATGTCAGCAGTGATACTGATATGTCATAGTATGAAAAATATAAAGTATAAGATTGAAGAATAAAACTAAGGAACACGAATGTTTCTTTTTGGTGGCTAAGTAGAAACATTTCTGCCTAAAACCATTGTCATAAAAGCAGTTAAAGGCAATACTTTTTAAAATGGGACATATCACTGATCCAGCCCTAAAAAAGCATGAACAAAAAGTTTTTGTTCTGTTTTAGCTATATCCTGTTAAGTGCAAACACTGTGTTTCAGTGAAAATATCTAGCCATAGCTTAAAAAAATTATTTGCAATGCTTAAGCCTGCAGATATGTAATGTGACCACTGTTTTGTGTTGACAGTATTGCTTTATACAGTTCTTGTATTTGAAAGGAATCTGATTCTTTCAAATGAACATGGTGTATATTGTTCTTACGGGACTATTTCAGTGGTGTAAATAATAAATACCTTTTCTTAAAACATTGGTTATCTGCTCTGTTATCCTACTTTACCTCTGTTGAACCACAAAACAAGTGTTAGGTCCAGGTAAGGACCTCTTGAAAAAAAATTAAATGTGTATGGTTTCAAAGTGTGTATTTCACTGTTCATGCATTCAGAATTGGTTTTAGCAACTACTTAGATATGTTAAGTTACTTAATTCTGATAAGCACCATATTTGAAAAGATAAACTACTTTCTTTGTGACAGATTATTATAAAGATAAATGGTGCAGAAAAGTTTGAGAACCCTTAATTAAAATTATTCAATTGAAACATGTTTCTTTAAAAATTTTTTGATTGATTGATTTTAGAGAGAGGGAGGAAGAGCGAGAGAGAGAAACATTAATTTGTTGTTCTACTTATTGATTGGTTGATTCCTGTTTGTGCCCTGACTGGAGATAGAACCTGAAACCTTGATGTATCAGGACAGTGTTCTAACCAGGGCCTAAAATGTGTTTCTTAATTATGAGGCTAAGTTTAAATACTTAAGGATGGAACAGAATATTCATTTCATTGGTAAGTTTTTCACTGTAAAAGCAGTCTATTTCAAAATAGGCATGCAAAGGGCTTAATCTTTTTAAGAAAACTGAACACTTAAAGCTATTCAGATAGGTCAAGAAAGAGCAGGTATTTTCTGGGTTTTTTGTTTGTTTCTTAAGCAGACATTTTCTAAATAAATATAAACTAAAATAGTACAAAAATTAGCAAGCCTCAGGAAGCGAAGTAGGATTAAAGAAAACAAAAAACATTTTTGCCATTAGGTGGTGCCCAAACCAAAGACTACTAGCCAGTATGCTAAATGAAACAATTCTGAGAGAACACTGTCAGTTTATTGAGATCACGTGTGCTTGTGTTGTTACTGTGTTCATAGAGTATGGACGTTTTGCGTGGTCTTTGCATCTCACGATTTATTGAACATACACTGATCTTATACAGTTTCCTGTGTCTGTGGCACACAACAGAGCCAAGAGATGACTTAATTTAGATGCATATTCTGGCAAGTTATTTTTATGATACAGTAGTTACCCCTTATCCATAGTTAAACTTTGTGTGGTTTCAGTTACCCACTCCCAATTGTGGTCCAAAAATATTAAATGGAAGATTCCAGAGACGATTCACAGGTTTTGGATGGCCTGCCATTTGGGGCTGGGATGAAGTCTCGCGAGTTCTGCTGCGAGGCTTGTTAATCACGCTGGAGATGCGCCCCGTCCGTCGCTTCGCCGCCATTTTAATGAGCAGGCCGACTGTGAAGGCAGCCGGTGCTGTGCTCAGGTAGCCCCGATCTTTCCTTTACAATGGCCCCAGAGCTCAAAGGTAGTGATGGTGGCAATTTGGATACGCCAGGAAGAAGCCGTCCAGCGCTTCCTGTAAGTGAAAAGGTGAAAGTTCTCGACTGAAGGGGAAAAAAATATGGCAGCCTGCGGTTGCTAAGGTCTGTGGTGAGGACGAGTCTTCCGCCCGTGGAACTGCAGGAAAAGGGCGGCGCGCTCGTTTGTCGTCCCTCAGGCCACAGTGGGTGATGAGTGCGCGGGTGGGAAACGCGGTGTCGCCGGGCTGGACGTCCCTGAGAGTGTCCGGTCAGTAGTCCCCGAACACTAGGACACTAATCCGTCACCTCGCGCATCTCGTGGCCGCATCCTGTCACCTCGGAAGGGCGAGCGCGGCAAAGCAAGATGTTTTGGGAAGAGAGCAAGCACAGTCACGTATTTATTACAGTATATTGGTATAGCTGTCCTCTTTTAGTATCAGTTGTTCATCTCCAACTGCACACTTTATAAATTGAACTTGACCATATGTATGTACAGGAAAAAACTACGTATGGGGTTTGGTGCTCTCCGTGGTTTCAGGCGTGGGGTGGGGGGGGCTTGGAACTTTGACCCTGCAGATGAGGGGGACTCCCTGTTTATGTTCCAAACCTGCAAACCATTTAGTATCTGATAAAGAATGTGTTATCTAAAAACCACAGAACATTATTAAATTTTTCATTTAGAGGGCAGTTTGACATCTAGTATCCTATCTTGTCCTTTATGAAAATCAGTTATTGGGCTAATGATATCTATAGGAGGCATTTGATTTTTTTTTAATGATTGGAAGGTTTTACTAGGAAGGGGTGGGGAGGGAGGGAGGGGGGGGAGAGAGAGAGAGGCATCATCTACTAGGAGGCATTTGGGTTTTATTTTTTTTAATTAAATTAAATTTTTTTTTATTTTCACCCAAGGACATTTTTGTATTTTTTGTTCAGATAGAGTGGAGAGGGGGGAGAGAGAGAGAGAGAGAGAGAGATCAATGTGAAAGGGACACATGGAGTGGCTGCCACCCACACAACCAACCAGGGCCGGGTACCGAGGTCCGTGCCCCTAGCGGGAACCGAACCCGGGTATCTTTGGACCGCAGGCCGACACTCTAACTGCTGAGCCAAATCAGCCAGGGCATGGTTTTAAAGACAATAGATAAACAGGTCATTAGAGTAAGGAACAAATGTTCCTCATTCGTAGAAAGTAAAATCCATGTCTTGTCGCGTAGAGGTGGGACTGTGCAGGGATAGGACCTGGGAAAGAGGATATGCAAAACAGAAGGGAAAATGGAGATTGCCTAGGTTCTTGTTCAGTTATTAAATGACAGTTGGTTGCCAAGAATAGTTAATAACACATGAATAAGTCAGTTGAGTTTTCTCATCCCAAGTAATCAACAGAACTCTCTCAATGAACAAATTGTTAGTTTCCCCAAAAGTATTTACACACCAGAGTGCACTAATCTTACTATTAGCTGGAATAGCAGCCCAGGAGGTGTCTCTAAAGATTAAACCCTTAGGTATTTATGTAAGAACAGACTAGTTTTTGGAATTGCTCTGGAGAAACTGTGTGGGTCTTGGTGGGAATGCTTAGACCTTAAAGAGAAACCCTTGGAGATCAGTTTAATAGAATTATTGAAGACTTCTGAGAAATTAATGTATTATAAGAACTAGAACAGATCAATGTTAGGCATTCTTTGGGTTTAGAAAAGGGTGTTATCTAATAAAGTCAGTGAGGTTCCATGTAAAATGTAAAATCTTGAAAACCTTCCACACTAATAATTTTTCAAAACATTTTGGAAGTAGGCAAGCACTTAAATGCTAGTGTAAACATTTTCCCTGATACAAAATGTTACTTAGTAAAACACCAATTTCCTTCTGAAAAGCTTAAAAGTTGAATGTATGGTGTGTAAGACCATTGATTGATAAATAAATAGTGGGAATGAAGTCTTTATAAATATCAAAGAATTGCTTAAGTAGTGATACTTCCATAAATCTATGAGTACAGTGAACACAAGTTAAATTGTGTATGTGTGTAATTTGTGATACTGAAGGCCAGGCTGATGTCTTTTCAGGAATAGATTATTAAAATTAGGTAAACAATTTTTAATGGACTACAAATCCTTTTTAATTCTATTTTCAGTTCTTAATTCCCTGGACAGTTTTTATTGCTATCACATCTTTTTGCATAATTTGTAAGGAGAACAGTTATGGTTTAACAAATGAGGTCTTAAGAAGAAAGGGCAAGTGATTTGTCAGAAAAACACTTGGCTAGAATTCTTCCTTACCAGCGGTGGGATCTTGGGTAAGTTTAACTCTTTGGACCTTTGCTTCTTCCTCCTTAAAGAAGTACTACTAGTCCGGCTGGTGTGGCTCAGTGGTTGAGCATCGACCCATGCACCAAGAGGTCGCTGGTTCGATTCCAGGTTAGGATACATCCCTGTTGTGGGCCAGATCCCCAGTGGGGAACATGCAAGAGGCGGCCAGTTGATGTTCTCTCATCCAGTGGTTCTCAACCTTTCTAATGCCACCACCGTTTAATACAGTTCCTCATGTTGTGGTGACCCCCAACCATAAAATTATTTTCATTGCTACTTCATAACTTGTAATTTTGCTACTGTTATGTCTTAGACAACCCCTGTGAAAGGTCGTTCGACCCTCAAAGGGGTCGCGATCCATAGATTGAGAACCGCTGCTCTCATAGTGTTTCTATCTCTCCCTTTCACTTCCTCTCTCTCTAAAATCAATAAAGGAAAAAAAAAATTTTTTTAAGTGCTAATAATAACACTTGTCTTTCCCATTGGCTGTTGTAAAGGTCAAATGAAACAATTCACCTTGAAGTTATTTGAAGCAGCAAAAGCTTATATGAATGTTAGATGTTATTAAAAGTGGTTCTGAGTGTAGGGCTTTCATTGAGCTATATATATCATTCTTGAAATTATAATAACTGGAGTACAGTATTAAGAGAAAAAATTTTTTGATTAAGGCTTTATTTTACAAATACTACCTTAGCTTTCTAAGAGTTCTAAATAATCAAGGAAAGTAGAATGAGAAAACACTATGGTATATATATATATATATATATATATATATATATATATATATATATATTTTAAGTATCCAAATGCTTTTGAGTCTGCAAATGACATTTAGTAATGGTCTGGACTGGAACACTTGTTACCGTGCCTCACCACTCCTCTCCCAATGTGCATGTGTTTGAAACTTTAGCGGCATTATGATACATCTTTTACAGTGGAATATTAATTAACATTATTTTACTCTTCTAACTTTGGAAATCAGCTGTTTCCAGATAGAAGCTTGCTAACTTCGTCATTCCATGTAAGAAACCCAAATCATTCCAAAGCAATAAGTGTTTTTTTAAAACATTTTTTTTCTTGTAAAGATATACTAAGGGTAACATTTTTTTTCCTGATAGGCTTGGCAGAATAAACTGTCTATGCAGGAACCAGGCATTCAACATTTAACCTAGATTTGTTAGTACCTATTATATATTTCAGGCACTGTTCTTCACAGATAAACACAACGAGATCCTCTGCCCTCACAGAGGTTAGATTCAAGTAAGGGAAACAGTAAAGAAAAAAAACCACAAACATAATTTTCAAACATTGAGAAGTACTATAAAAATATAGTATGAC